CACACACACACACACACTGCAGAGGCGCTGGTGCTGATGTAAACGGCGACAGCTGCACTTATCACGAGGACTCAGCAGACAGAAGTTATGATGCATTAGTGACAGGTCTTTAGCGTGATAAGTTATAACGTATCTGATTTTGAATGTAGTATGACTATATTCAAGTAATCACAACGCCTAAATATAAGTTAAAGAGTGGGAGAGTGACTCAACTCTCAAAACGTGAGTTATGGTGGCGTGAGATGAGATGACACGCAGGCTCCATCACTGCACCTCCGAAATCAGAGCACATTTGATTAATTCATCAAAACCGAAACTAATGATCTCGGTTCATACGATCCTGCCTTTTATCTTTTAAACGGCCCAGATTGATAAATCCTTGAAAACGGCTAGACTTGATTAGTTTTGACTGTGCAAAGTTCTGTTCTACAATATGAACTCAACAAGAGGCTTGCTCTAGTTCTGTGTAAAATGATAGAGCTACACGAAGGTAAGCGCATTATCGTTGTTATTTTTTTTATGAATAACACAGTTTTGACTGTCGTGTGTGCATGAACGAGTGTGAAATAATTGCGTTGCTTTTTCCTATCACTTACATTGGGCACTTTTTGCATTTAAATTGGATTATTATGACTGCAGTCTGCATGCTGACATTGAAAATGATGCATGTGTTGTTTCGAGGTTTCGAGGGTATTTCTTGATTGCCGTTTTGACAGTGTCTGCTTGCATATTTTATTCATGTTCGGTAGCCTAATTCTCTTTTTCTCTTTATAGGCTATTTGCCCCGATTGATCCGTTTACCTGGGACATTTATCTAACGTTATATTTACATTATTTTGCCGTCATTATTTTGTTTTAATGAGTTGAAAATGGCCCGTATCAACCTTGATTTACATATTCATCACATTATTTTGACAGTTAAAGTTTTGGGCGTTTTTTTTGTGAGCTTTTGGGCTGGAAATCGTCCGTCCAATCTGGCAACCCTGGGTGTGGCTTCATCCTCAATGAAGCAATATCATGGGCTTGTGATCGTTTATGTTTTCAAACTATTTACGTTTTCCATATTGGTGTTTTATTACTTTATTTCATATGCAAAATGGTAGGCTTTAATAGTAACCCTTTAAAATGAAAACAAGTAAAAAAAAAAAAAAAAAGTAATTTTCTTTGCATGCACTTCAAGTTGTTGACGGCAATTTCAGATGGATATTATTTTATATTGATGTATCATTTGGTGTCTCTTGTATGCTATAAACTTTAAGGGAATTTTCCTTGTGAATCCAAAATCTTAACACAAAACAACAGTGGGAAAAAAAATCTGTAAAAGCATGCTTGATTTGACAATAAAAGCTGGTTATCTTAGAAAACAGTATTTTTTAACTGACGCCACAGAAATGTTGGTATGGAAGATTATGGAACTGATCTGTTGAGGCCTTGTCTGCATTTTATGCATATTATTTTTTGTATTCCACAGTAAATGTCAACTGTTTCTTTTATTATATATTATTATTAAATTATTAATAAATATAAATATTATTGTTACATACTTTACAGTGTATTTACATAGAACATTTCTAGGTTGTCCATGCTCAAAAGCTCGGCCTCTGCAGCCATCTAGTGGCCACTAAGTAACACCACTACAACAAAAATAAACCGTCAGTACTGAGGCGCAAACTACGTGATGGGCGTGGCTTGGTCATTCTGTCTTCCTATTGGTCTAAATCCGGGAAGCGGTTTGTTCGTGTCAGTTTCTGCTCTGTTATTTGAAACAATAAACAATTCGAGTTTCTCGGTTCATAAAATGATGAATTGACGGTTTGTTAGGATAGTAATTAATTAACACTAATCTTCGGTGCTTTAAGGTATGGTATAAATTACTATTGCTTGAAACATTTTACGTAAATTAAATTCAAGCCGCGTTTGTAGTCACTGCAGTTTCCTTACTGCTTATATGTTGTGTGTACTATAGTAATACCATATTTTTGGACGGTTTACCATTAGAATACCATGGTTTGCCATGTTTTTTTTTGTTGTTTTTTTTAGAATAGTAGTACCTTATTTTACTTAACAGAATATCATAGTATAGTATCGTAGCGTGGTATTCGTGTTTCTTCAGTTGAACATGGAGCTGTCATAAGTTTTAATACCATAATATGCTCTAAAGTACTAGGATTAATATTTAAACACCACATCTTACACAAATTGACTAACCTGACAATTGCGCGTGACTTCAGTCAATGCATGTCTAAATGCACATTACATGGAACTATGCAATATTTACATGCATCTGTTTTCTTCCAGGCTCTCAGATTAGAGATGATGGAGCAGGTGCGCCGTCGCCCTTTCCATCATGTGAAGCTGTTTCTGATTGTTCTTGTGGATAGGAGGGATAGTAATCTGATCTGTGACGGTTCCCTCCACCTGCTGTTGATGGAGAGAAGGGGTTTGCAGAGCTGGTCTGGTCAGAGGAAAGGTGGAAGACCTGACAAGATGCTTAAAATAGTGTTGTAGCTCATAGTTTGGCATAGATAAAGATGGATAGAAAAGCTTTGACTGCTGCGTTGCAGTCCAGAGACAGAACATATGTGTTTTTGTGGACCTACAGCCAGTTCAAGGTAGCAAAATTGAGGAGACTCTGATATTTTTGCAGTTATTTCTGATGGTTTGTTCATGATATTGCATGTAATAATGCAGGTGATTATAACGTGTTTCATTGTCTTGCAGCAGGAGCAGAGAGAGTGGGACGCTGTTAACAGGTTGCTGCAGCATCATGGCTTCAAACCTGTCAACTTTGCAGATCCAACAGAGAACAAGTACCTTGCAGGTAATGCATCACTGATATTTTCTTTCAAGTCTTTTAAAATAATCAAAGGAAAAATAATGCTCAAGTAATTTCGAGCAACTGGAAGTCATTGGTCAG